GTCTAGCCCCTTTAGAATCTCAAAGACAGCAATCATAACGCCTCTCAATCTTCCCTTTCCCAGTGCGAACATGCCCAATTTACTTAGTCGCTCTTCAGATTCCAATCCCTCCAGTCCCTCATTCATTCTGGTTACCCTCCCCTGTCAATTTCTCCCATATCATTTTTGTACTGCGGTGACCAGAACTGTCCACAGTACTCTGAGTACTGTCTCACCAATGATTTATACATTGGCAGGATTACTCCACTATTTCAACTTGCTATTGATCTTTTGATATATCCCAACATCTGGTTTGCTTTACTCACTGCCACAGAGAATTGTTGTGAGAGCTTCAATTTATTGCCAATCAGGACCCCTAGGTCCTTTTCATTTTCCATACATATTATTTTCCTTCTGTTCAATTAATAGTCCCTTCCTGGATTTTTTTTGTCCCGACATGAAGTACTTTACATTTCTGCAAATTGAAATTCATCTGCCAAAGGTCTACCCAATTTCCAAGTATGTTCAAATCCTCCTGTAACCTATATTGTTCAGCTTTGCAATATACCACCTTCATTAACTTGGTGTCATCTGCAAACTTAGCCATGGTGCTTGCGACTCCTAGTTCCAGATCATTTATACAAATATTAAACAAAAGATGTCCTAAAACAGACACTTGTAGAACTCCACCGGTAAAATTTTCCCAGTCTGATGACATTTCCTGTACCACCACACTTTGGGTTCTTCCGATCAACCAGTTACATATCCATTGTAATACACTTCCACTGATTCCTGCTTTTTTTACTTTCAGTACCAGCCTCTCAAGAGGAACTGTATCAAAAGCATTACTGAAATCCAGATATACATCAACCACAGCCTTACCTTTATCAAGTTCCCTTGTCACACCGTCAAAGAAAACCAGTAAATTAGATTGGCAAGACTTCCCCTTCATGAACCCATATTGGCTATCATTTATGATTTTATTTCTATCCAGGTGCTCCATGATTTGATCCTTAATAAATGCCATCCATAATTTTACCCACAATGGATGTCAAAATTACTAGTCTGTAGTTTCCTGGGTCACTTTTGTTACCTTTCTTAAAAATAGGAGTAACATCTGCCTTTCTCCAGTTCCCCGGCACCACTCCAGTATTCAGAGATTTCTGAAAGTTTTATGCCAGGATTTCTGCGACTTCCTCCCTTAGTTCCTTAAGGATCCTCGGATGCAATTTATCCAGCCCCTGAGATTTATTTACCTTAAGTTTGCACAGCTGTTTGGCAAAGATGCTAGAAGTGATATGAATAGTGTCGCAACTTTACTCTGCAACATCCTTGATTCTACGAGACGGAAACCATACTCATTGGCTCCTGTCAATGTCTTTTATCTTCCAGCTCTGACCTCCTCAACCTCCCAGCATATCTCTCAGACTTACCGAACCAGTGCGCAAAGTAGGCGTCATGTTCAACCCACATCTTCCTCCACCTCCGCCACATTGCCCGCCTCTGACAGTACTTTAATCCAGACGCAGCCAAAACACTCGTCCATGCCTTTATCACCTCCCAACTCGACTTTTCGAATGCGTTCTTCGCCGGTCTCCCTAGCTCCACCATGCACAGGATCCAGCTGAACCAAAAATCCGCCGCACACATATTCACCTTTACTAAACCCCGTACCCCCATCACACCAGTTCTAGCCAGGCTCCACTGGCTCCCTATTGCCGAAAGGATCATTTCAAGATCCTCACACAAGTTTTGAATCCCTTCATGCCCTGGCAGCTCCCTGTCTCTCCGACCTGCTTACCCCACAGCCCACTACCTTCGCTCGAGCCATGTTCCTTGTGCTCTCCATTCCACCATTGGTGCCCACGCTTTCAGCCACTAACTCTGGAACACTCTTCCTCTATCCCTCCACCTTGTCCCTTCCTTCCCATCTTCAGGTCGCGCCTGAAGATTTTCTATTTGACCGTGCTTACAGTCACCTCCCCCCGGCTCGGCGTTATGCTCCAGCACTGTCAAGCGCTCTGGAATGCTACCCTGCGTGAGGGGCGCTATATAAATACAAGTTGTTGTTGTTCTCTTTCCAGAACAATCAAAAGAAATCAGCCAACTCAAAATGTACCCCTGTGATTGCACGTGATGATACACACTCTATCATCTATCCCTGTATACAAAATAGTAACCACTGAGAAATGCACAATTATCACTGGCAAACTCAGGTACAGTTGTAAAAGCAGCATTACTAAGTGCCAGGTGTCAGTGGATCCTGTTCTTGGCGGAACACTCCTTTGATGAGTATGCTTGGCATAGCAGCCCCTCTAATGTGGGAATGTGTGGTCAGAGTGGGAGAGCGATGTGATACTAAACAGGCAGAGTTCGGTCAAAAGCAATCTTGACTTTTCAGTGCTATGATGTTTTCGAGCTCCAACTGACTTTCTGAATATTTCAAACCAAAACGAGAGAGTGCTAGAAGGCTGCAGTACCATTCAGACTTCAGAGCTTTCTCGGAATACACCACAAACGTCTGGTTTTGTCATGTTTTTGGTGCTCAGAGCCTCCTGTGGTCCTCAAAGGACAGGGTCTGTTTGCTTTTCAGCGAAATGTTCTGGGGTTCCGTGCATTCCAGCAATTCTACTTTATAATATTCTGCAGGTGAAATTACCAGGAAATCATTCCCGCAGATGTTATTTGATTGGAAACTCGTGTGCGTCTTCTCAGCTCTGAAGGCTGGCTCCCGTAAGGTCAGGGGATGTGCAGTGGAGATCCTCAAATGTTCATTCATTTGTAAAGAACATTCATTCTTAAAAAAAATAAGTTAATTTTCCTTCTCTTTGCTTCATCCGATGTGCCATTCCCCAGGCCAGAGGGTATGCGGTCAGCCTGTTGCCTGCCCTAAGCCAATAGATCTATTTGTCCAGCAGCTGGGAGTTCCATGAGAGCTTTCCTTCCAATTTGCTGTCCTTCCTGCAGTGACTGACATCTGCTCGGGGCTTCTTCCCTGACAGCATGGCAGTCGTCAAGAACAGACCCTCATGGACAGCCTGTACCCTTCCTACTCATCTAACAGACAATACTGCTCTGAATTACTTTTCAATGGACTTAAAAATTGTACAGTGCACTATTATTCCTCTGACTGCTGTCCACAAAACATTTGATATTATAACTGGTCTAGTTTGCTGTATTTTTGAATGCGATTCCTTAATAAAGGATTCAATAGAATTCCTTTTGAGTCACAGAAACTCTGCTCCAAAGGCAGGTTGTGTCAAAGTGGAGATAGTTCACATGCATCAATTTGATGCATTTCCAGTTACAAGGACTTTCCCTTTACATGACTTGCTTTCCTTATAAAGGAATCACAGGCCCAAAATTCCACCTAGTCAGCCTCTAAAGACCATATTCTCTTAACATTTAAGATAATGCAGAATTGTGCAAACATCTTCAAATTGGTCTCAATTTGGAAGTCACATTCTTGTTAAGAACTGACGAAAGTTGTCTTCCAATTTAAGACTGAACTTAATGGGTCTTCCACAATTCTGTGCAATCTTAAATTTACAAACAAATTGTCCTACATTTTAAAACTGAGGGTAATTGAGAAATACTGCAAATTAGACTCCATTATTTAGTGAGATCATTGTATTTTTGGTTTGGGATTACTATCAAGAAAGGAAGAAACTTTATTGTCCTATCAAAGCATCTAAAGTGCTTCCCAGAAAATACTGTCAAGTGTAGTGACTGCTTTTGTTAGAAAAAGTTATCAGTCACATTTATATGCATCAGCAATTCCAGTTAGTACAAAAAATACAGTCTAGTAATCATTTGTGTGCTTCACAACATATTTGTTTTAAAAGTGTCCTCAAAACATGTGTTCTGTCGCAGATCCAAAACATTTAGTTGCAAACTTATGAACGTGGGCTGAAAAATTGACTAGAGTTAGTGAGCAGAATAGTAAGCTCGCTTAACTCTCTCCTAGTTTCCCTCGTCTACAATTTGGAGATCTCAGTTATCCAGAGGTGTGTGTCAGTCAAGCTTAGGTCAAACAACAGCAGCAACTTGCATTTATATAGCGCCCTTCACGCGAGGTAGGGTCCCGGAGCACTTCGATGATTTTGACCCACAGTGGATATAGTGATGGATCATTGTCCTCGAGGCGGTTTTGGACTGATTCTGAGGGTAGGGATTGAGTTCCAACAGGACCAAAGTGGATACTAAATCAGTATGTTGGTCAATAATGCTTTGCTAGCGTGTGATGTTAGATATTGTATACCGGTAAATGAAGTGTTAATTTGGTGTTTGTGTGCAGTGATTAGGTTACACAGGTGAATACTTTTTGTTTTATCTGGGACGTCCTCCCGACATGAAAGATGCTATACAAATGCAATTTTGTTGCTGCTGTTGTATCTGAGTACACTAGGAGTACAAGTGGGCAGTTCAAATATATAATATAAACAAAAAAAATCCTTGCATTTGTATATAGCCCCTTATCACAGCTTCTAGACATCTCAAAACTCTTCACAGAATATACTGTGAAGTGAATTGACTGTATACTTTGTGGGCGAAACACGGCAGCCAATTGCGCACAGTCGTGGATTGAGTGACCAATTTATTATTATTTTTTAAAGGAATTATTACCCCCCAGAAAAGTGATCCACCAATCGACTAACAAGAAGGTTCGTACTTACTGCTAGGTAAACAGAGGCGCGTGGAGTAAGGAAACTTGCCCAACGTTTTGCCCTACTGGGAATCGAACCCAGGTCCTCTCGCTTGCGAGGCGAGTGCTCTAACCACTGAGCTGCAGGACAAATCTATTTTAACTACGTAAACCTGCCCCATCGCTGTGCTCCTGTGTTTGCAGAATTCCTGGATGGGAGTGTTGGCTGAATTATATAATAACCATGTGTTTCAAGAGATTGTAATTATTATGTTAAAACCATCACGTCATAACAATTCGTCTCAGGAGGAGTGAGCTCGCACTTCTCAGTGTGATATCAACTGGATATAACCACTAATACATGTGCTTAACTCAGAAAAGTGCATCGGATGGGAAGAGACAGGAAGTCATTGTGTTAGATTCAAAGAGGAGCAACGCCATTAACATTGGATTGACAGTATTACCCCCTCCAAGAACAATCAAAACAGCTATCCTCAACTTTGATGAATATGCCTTGAACAAGGAAGGTATAGAGGTAAGCTGCTAAAATCCTCCTATTTACACAACCTATTTGTCCATTAGCATGTGCCACATATAAGGAAAGGGAGTCCAAACATTCAGAATGAACCTCCCACTCGGGTGATGGTAGTACAGTAACATGGTGTACCACGGGTGCAAACTCAGCTGGCTTCATTCCTTATATGATAAATTGACGATTGCAATTGCTTTTTGCTGCGAAAGGAGGAAAGGGAAAGAAAGTCAAGACCAGAGATTCCAAATTTAGAATGAATTGAAGAATTTTCCGAAATGCTGCACAATCTTAAATTTCAAGATAATAATATTGAGGTTAAGACCACAGGGGTATAACTGTGCAGGGAGTGGGTTGATGAGTTACCCCAACCCTAATGTGTAAACATAAATCAATGACTTCTGAGTACACTCCGAATCAATTGTCTTTTTTTTCCTTTTCTTATTTGTGGTTCGTGTTTTGTGCTTATCAGGGCAAGGTATCTGAACATTAGGTACAGAATACTTTTCTATTCTTTCTCTTGTAATGTGAGTCTACGTTACTAGGAACCAGGTTGAGAACGTCCAAACACCAGTGCACAGATCAGTCAAGAAATGTTTGTTTCCTGCTAGTTACACAAAAAAAACACACAAGGTTTGTCTGGTTTTGTTTTAGAAAATCTTAACCATGATTCCTACGGAAGAGGAGAAGCAGAAGATCCAGGAGGCCCAACTGCTGAATCCTGACATTCCCTTAGGCACCGCAGAGCAGTTCCTTCTTACCTTGTCCTCCATCAGTGAGCTCTCAGCTCGACTCCAGCTCTGGGCTTTCAAACTGGACTATGAAACAGTCGAGAAGGTACGTCCACCCTCATTGAGCTAATATTCAACTTACGTTATGCATCAAGGGACCACGTCTGGGACTCATTAAGTACAATGCTTCTCCAAAGAGCAGAACTGACAAAATAACACATAAGCAACAGAGCCCCAGGTGCGCTATAATGTCTGATCCAACAGTTGAACGCATCTGGGTGAAAAATGTGATACCTGATGTCATTTCACATCACTGAAAATTACACTCCAAACCAGTCTTTAACTATCGACTGATTTGCATGTGAAGCTGGCTGAAGTCTCCATTGGTGTTGCTGCCATGACTCTGATCGATTGTTCATAATGTGTTTGTTGCAGGAAGTTGCAGAACCGTTACAGGACCTGAAGGAAGGAATGGACCAGTTGGAGAACAATAAATCCTTAAGATATATCTTGGCTACATTACTGGCAATTGGAAACTTCCTAAATGCATCAAATGTGAGTTTGTGCAACTACCCTGTCCCTTTATTATACAGTATTTAAGTTATGGTTTTTCTCAGTAGAATTTTCTGTGCCAATATCTCCCCATTGGAGAGTACTTTGGAGGCTTAATATAGAGTAATACCTTCTCTTCCTGTCAAATAATAATAATAATACTTGCATTTGATATAGCACTTTTCACGTCTTCTAGACGTCTCAAAGCGCTTCACAGAATATACTATAAAGCGAATTGACTGTATATTTGTGGGCGAAACGTGGCAGCCAATTACACACAGCAGCGTCCCACAACAGCGGTTGATTGAGTGACCAAATAATTTTATTTTAAGGATTATCATCCCTGGAAAACCGATCCAACAATCGATTAACAACCGGGTTCCTACTTACTGCTCAGTAAACAGAGGATTTTGGAGTAAGGAAACTTGCCCAACATTTCGCCCTGCCGGGAATAGAACCCAGGTCTCTCACTTGCGGGACGAGTGCTCTAACCAAAGCGCCGCAGGACTCCCCGGAGTCCTGCAGCATGGAGCAACACAAATAAAACTCTTTTCTGATTAAAGACCATGTAGAAAGGGATGCTAAAAGACCCTTCAATTCATTTGGTCTCAACCTTCCAAAGTCCCCATTCTACCATCTTCCTATTGCAGCATTAAGCTGTTTCAGTGCCCTGGCCTCAACCACATTTCCTGGGCAGCCATTGATTGTACTCCATGTAAAGTAATACTTCCTGGTGTCTATCTTGAAATTGCCCTTTACAACCCTGAGCTTCTGCCCTCTTATCTTGTTGCCTTGGTGTACTGGAAAGTAGGGCTCTCATGTGGTTGACCGTTCGCAACCTGGTTCCTAGTAACGTGGACTTACATTACATAATTGTGTTTAATTTAGCACTTAATTGGCAATTTCACTTATAATGGTTACAGGGCGACCTGTTGTTGCGAGAATGGAAAATGCAACAGTGGCGCAATAACAAGTTCTCTTCTAAGACAGAGAGCGGAGCAAACTGGGTCAGCATGGAACATTGCAGTATCCGACAATGGGTTTCAAAAAGAAGTTTAACCTTCCCTGGAGAAGATGAGATTCACCAGAAATTGCTTTTTTTAAAAATAAATGCCATCTCATGACTCGCTCCAGACCTACTCAGTGCCAGATGAGACAAGTGGAAGCAAGTACCATTAATCTGCTTTCATAAACCAGCCCAAAGAACACTAAACAGGGGTGGCTTAGTGTTCAGTCTGGTACATGTTTTGTGTACCACTCATGTGTACCACTCATGAAGAGTGTATTCTAAAGGCACTGGAACTGTTTATAAAAGTTACTGCATTCAAATGTTAGAAGCTTTTCAATATTTAGAATAAAAGCATTTTCCGTGATAATTTTCTGAGTTTATCTTTTTTTTCAAAGAAAAAACAAATACTCAATCACATCTGAATGACTGGCAAAGGATTGCAATTAAATTCAGAAACTTGCATAGTGTAGGAATAGGTATTGACCCAGAACCGTAGAACACATTCAATGCTGAGTAGGGCAGCAACTGAAACGGTGACATGTGCTGGATTTGGTTTTGTTTGTTTTTCTTAGTTTTAAAGCAAGCCATACAAGCAGGTGGCACATAAGCAATGTGCCAGAATGTCTTTAAATCCATCACTTCCCCATGAAGGCTTCCCTTTTTTACATGGGACGTCCTCCCGACGTGAAAAGCGCTATATCAAATGCAAGGATTATTATTATTATTATTATTGCAGCCGCTCGGTGGGAAGAAAGAGGGGGCAAATTGCAAATGCTGGAAATAAATAGCAGATCCATCAGGGAAAGAGCAATGTTTTGTGGGTGAACCTTCTCCCAAAATGTTAAGCTGTCTTTCTTTTTAGATTGGTGTGAATTTCCAACCCTTGTGTTTGTGGAATTTGGGTGTTTATCCAAGAGATTACAATTGCAGACTTTGTGCATTGGAGAGTTCTCGGGCCAACTTGGTTCCATGAGCTGAAAACAGTCTGATGCGAAAACTCTGCTGCAACACGCCCCCTGCTGGCTAACCTCCACCACACACTACAGTATTCATAATCATTTCTCCACATTTCTACCATGATTTGTATTTAAATTGATTAAAGAGCTGTTGATCTGTAGTACTTGATGGAATCAGCAACACAATGAGACAATTGCATCACCAAATGCAGATTTGCATCAGAGTCTATTTTGAAACCAGGTCCAGTGCACTGCAAAAGTAGACAGGAAAGTATAAGGAAGCAGCCCGGGATCTAAAGACATTGGAGAACTTGATCCATGAGAGTTGAGTTATGTGGAATCACTGTAAACTTCAGTCATGAAAAGAGGCATCTCACAGAAGCCCTTACAGAAGTTTATAAGATGCTAACGGAGATAGACAATAAACCAAGAACAATACTTTCAGATACACCAAGGCAGCAGGACAAGGGAGCACAGGTTCAGAGTTGTGAAGGGAATTTTAATACAGACACCAGGAAGTATGATTTACATAGCATGTTAACCTCTGGAATGAATTACCAGGAAGGGTAATGGGCTGAACCTATTTAAGAACCAGTTGGATGTGGTAATTGTGTTAGGATGGGTATTCTACAAGGATGAAATCAAATTAGCCAAAGGATCTTCTTCATCTAAGCCTCTTATGACTATCATATTCTGATACCTAAAAATAGATATCTTCTCACTAGATGTTTCTGATGGGAAATTTCAATGGGAACCCTCCTATGTCTCTTAATTTTGCAAGCCACTTATTTTAATACTTGAAGCACTCGGAAACCATGCACATATGGAACTCTCAATAATTTGGTTTGGATACCCTCAAGCGTGGCAATCGGTTTCCGTGTGTATCAGACATCCGGCTGACCGAAGAAAAACAATGTAATCATTTCATATCAATACTGAAGCTCAGTTTGGAATCCTATTCCAAATTATGTACTAATATAATTTTCAAAGCACATTTTCTTACATGTCTTTGTGATGTGACTGTCTTGTCTCTTCCCGCAGGCTAAAGGCTTTGAGCTGGGCTACTTGGCGAAGGTTCCAGAAGTGAAAGACACTGTCCACAAGCAGTCTCTGCTCCACCACACTGCTACTATTGTGGTGGAAAAGTTTCCAGATAGTTCAGACCTGTACTCAGAGATCGGGGCCATCACTAGGTCAGCCAAGGTATGTCAGTGAGTAAGAATTTCTGTCTGTCTGTGATCCAGAGCTTTAAGCTGTATTTTCCAGGCAAGGCAGAAGGCAACTTGTGACATTCTTCTGCCTTTTTACTGAATAAGAGAGTCTGATTTAAAAAGGGTGCAGAATAGATTCAGAAGCATTCACTGTTGCTAGATGCAATCTAAGGAGTCAGCTGACTGATTGATTCGAGTTGTAATCTACAATAATGTAAATGATATTGGGATACTTGGTACCTTGAAACGTAACCCTTATAAAAAGGAAAGAAAGTAATAAAATTGCAAGTGTGCTGAGGCATGAAGCACCACAGAGATTTAAGGTTTTTTACTAGAGCCCTTAAATATATTGGCTGCACACTCCACTAATGTGGCTGTGGCCAGGTGCCACTATCAGTCAAGGCACTGGCACTGAATTATCTTCTCACAAACTGTATTTGCTCTAGTAATTGTGATTTCCAGTTTGCGATTTTCAAATTGTGAGATTTGCAGAAAATCCCGAATCCCAGACCAGTGAAACCCAAATAAAGGTGATGATTCAGGTGGACATTGCCAGCCTCTTCTCTGTCTTTGTCGACTTGAGTTTTTCAATTTGATGTTCACAAATCTCATGAATGGGGAATTGCAATTAACCTAACAAATCCTTTTTTTTGCAAATGTTGCATTTTAGACAAAATGCCAGGAAGGCAACTCACAAAGTGCTTCACGGGATTATCTGTAAAGTAAAGCAACTGTGTGTTTTGCAGACGAATGCAACAGCCAATTTGCACACAGCAATATCCCATGAACAGGAGTACCTATCTTCCCTTTTTTTGAGGACTTTTTTGAGTACCTGGGGATATTTAACTCCCACCTGAAAACAGGTAGACAAGATAATCGGTTGAATGTCTCATGAGTTGTTAGAGGATATCATTTCCAACAATACTATGCACTCCCTGCACAGCAATGGAGTTCTTGCCTGACTTGTGAGTTCAAAATTCTGATGTGGGATTTGAACCCACAATCTTCTAACTCACAACCTTCTGACTCAGAGGTGAAAGTGCTGCCAATTGAGCAAAGCTGATGTTTACAAATCCTTCACAAAACTAAATTCCACTTTGCTGCCGGTTATCAGTTGTACTGCTGTTTTATGAATAAATCAACAATTTGTATTTACGAATACATACTACCCTTCATGCAGAATAGCATTTCAGAGGTGGTGGGAGATTGGTGGACATATTTTTATTTTAAAAATTACATGTCTTAGTTTGTAGAAATACAAGGGTATTTTACACCTTACACCTCTCCTAAAGCAGACACTGATTTTTTTTCTCTCAGACTCGCCAGCTATAGGAGTCTGCTGGTCTGATCAGTCTAGGCTGGTGGGGGGGGCGGGGGGGCTGTAACATGATATCAGGATATTTTGTAAATGTTGCAATTTTACTGCTGTCAAGCCATATATAGTGCAGGTTTACAACTCAGCTGGCCTGTGGTGATACTTTCCCTCACCAGAGTTACTGTATCAATCATAAATAAACTACGGACGGACAGTCGACAGGAGCTGGCGTTTGTTAAACTAATTGCCTTATAGTGCACAGGAGCGTGTGTACTCTCTGAGGTCCCTTTATCTTAAATAGTTAACCGCTTTACCACCTGGCAAGGAGACCGCCGAGGATTTCGGTGAGCATGTGTGCGCTGTAAAACATATAAGCCCAATAAAAAGGTACGGGCTTTCCTGCAGCATTTTCTTAGAGAGCCACTGACCTGATTACGAATTGAAACAGCTGACTCTCTGTATCATCCACTCAACTTTTTACACTTTCAGATCGACATTTCAGTACAAGCCAAAGCCTCTCTTTTTTATGAGAAGTCAGAAGTCTTGACTGAGGGATTTACCAGCCACCAAACAGAATAGAAACTTGGTGTTTCTCTTATTGAGATGGAAATTAAAAATTTTGGGGGGGGCGGCGGGAGGTTTGAGGATGGAAAGTACAATATAATACGATAATCATCCTTGTGTTTGATATAGCGCCTTATCAAGTCTTCGAGACATCTCAAAAGCACTTCACAGAATATACTGTAAATCGGATTGACTGTATATTTTGCGGCCGAAATTCGTCAGCCAGTTGCGCACAGCAGTGTCCCATAAACAGTCGTGGGTTGAGTGACCGATTTTATTATTATTTTTGGGGGGAAGGAAACTCACCACTCCTGAGAACTCATTACCAAGACATTTCCCCTTGGAGCGACAAGTTAACAGGAGTTTGCTGCAGGGGAAACATCCAGTCCGCAATCAGTCACCATGCTGTATAAATAATGTTATATTTATATTTATAAAGCGCTTCTCACATAGGGAGGATGTCCCAAAATGTTTGACACTGTTGGATGGGCACCCGAACTGGGGGTGGAAGCTGAGAGGGGTGGGCAGGGAAAAGATCACCAAAAGTGCAAAGAGATGGACCTTAACAAAGAAGTAGATGGTTCTGCTCTGTTTAAATGGAGTGAATCGTGTGGTGTTGTTATAATAAAGTTTCCTCAACTTCCCTGTGCTCCGAGTTAAAAAATTAATCAGAGTTCCCACTCCCCTTCACAATCCAGCAATGCCTGTTGGAAAGAGTATTGGAAAGTGTGTATATATGTATGTCAGGCGAGGACATGTGTATATCAGGCGAGGACAGGTTTGGCTTTGGCAAGTGCTGTTCCCTTTCTCCCCACCCTTCACTGTCAAATAGCTTGCCAACATTCAATGTCTGATCATTCACATAATAATAATAATCCTTGCATTTGTGTAGTGTGGCCACTTGGGTAAAAGTACCAGATTGTTACCTGGGGCCCATGCAGTCAAAACCCAGCATGAATCAGCCAGTTGCTTCAGGAGAAAGAGAGAAAATTGCAGTGGAAGGAGGGCAGAAAAGATAACATAAGCAGCTCTGTTGCACAATAGTGTTGCAAGAAGTGTTGAGGTTTTAGTGGCACCAGCATTCCGACATGAAAGCCACTGATGCTCAACCTAAATACATAAACCAACAATGGAAGGCAACGGAGTGAAATAATACGTTGCTTTTTTAAAACAATAATCTCTGTTCTTTTCAGGTTGACTTTGATCAGCTCCAGGAAAATCTTTGCCAACTGGAGAGGAGGTGCAAAGCCTCGTGGGATCACCTGAAAGCTATTGCAAAGCATGAAATGAAACCTGTCCTGAAGCAGAAAATGTCTGAGTTCCTGAAAGACTGTGCCGAGAGAATCATCATTTTAAAAATTGTTCACAGAAGAATAGTAAATAGGTATGGAATGCGTTCCCTTCTTGTTTGCTCCCCTCCCCAATCCAGGAATACGTCATCACTTTCCCTTGGTCAGTTTTGTTTCTTATATGAGAAATGTAAAGTACTTTTAACTATTGGTTTTGACCTCAACTGGTGGATGTTTGTGTGGAATACAATACCTATATGAACCAGTTAGGCCGAATGATTTGTTTCTGTACTCTATGTAATTCTATGTAACAGTGCTAGAGAACTGATTGCCAGTACATTTACCAAACATTGGATGCTGGAAACACCTCATGTATTTCTTGGGCTGAAGAAATGGTTTTAAAACATACAGGATTCTGAGGAAGGGTCTTCAAATTAGCTTTCATTTGGAGGCCAATTTTCTGCTCTACCTAAATAGGACTGAAAATGCGGCTTCCAAAATAACAGAGCGAGTCCCAATCAATCTTGAATTTTAAGAAAATGGTCTTAAATCTAAGGACAACACAAGGCCCTTCAGTCCATCGAGCCTATTCCACCAGTTTATTCTTTTCATTATGTTAATCCCAATGCACCGCCCTTTCACCGTGCCCTTATTATCTTTACTACTGAAGTGTCCTTCTTTCATTCTTTTAAACATCCAACTGAAACATTTTCAGTGTTCGTATGTAATCTGCAGGGCTGGAAGATTCTGTTCACTTTGACCTTGCTGGCAGTTCAACTGCAATGTTGAGACTTCACTTTCTTACTGATTGTCCTGTTTGATGGCACAGTTAAAGTGTTCTCATTTTTCAGAACACTCTGAGATCCCATTCTCTGCCATAATCCTCACAGCCAAATGCAGCACTAAGCAAAAAACACAGGAAGAAAGAGAGAGAAAATCAGGTTAGCATTGCCCAAGACTGCTGCCACAGATCCTTGTACAGAGCAACAACATGCAGAGGCCTAGAGCAGTTTCTCTTTACAGGTCAGGTAGAGATGTAGAGAACATAGGGAGAAAATAAAATAACTTACAACTAACATACCCAATCCAGTTACCAAATTTGTATACCTTCTTAGGACTTAATTTGTAATTTATTAATAATACTTCATAACATGTTATTTTCCAGTAGTAGACATTATTACAGGATATTTTCGAGCCTTTTTCTGCTGTGGTTCACTGGATTTGAAGCTGGGCTTTTACCCCAAGGTTATACCATTATTTTCCTCACTGCAGTTTCTTATCACCATGAATAATATTTCATGGCTGTTTTAAACTCACTCATGCCGTACCGTGCTCACAAAATAATCTTTGCTCTATTTCCGCTGTGCTCCCAAGTGCCCTGACATTTGGGGTGGGGCGGGGAGGGAGAAGGGAGAGAATATTGAATATCTTCACTTTCTAGAATTTTCCAGGTCGCTAACTCGCTTCTTGTCCAAGCTTTATGACCTGTCCAACCTTCAGATCCAGTGGGAATGATGTCTGGACGGGCTGTAATTAGCAGGATTTCTTAATGGGATGTCTTGTTAAAGAATTCCCATTGACTTGTGAGAACTGAACTCGGTAGGTTGATTGCCTCAGACACCTGTGGGTCGATGGGATCCACTTCTGGGGTTACAAGATGGACTTCCCTCTTGCGCTACTCGGATCCTTTGTTAAGAAATCGGTTAAGAAATACAGCAAATTCGATCCCATGAATATTGTCAATTAGATTCACCTTTAGTAACATAGAAGAATGCCAGTATTGCAGAATAAGCCGTGCAAATTTCTATCCTCAAATAGATATTGTTGCAAGTCGAGTATTATCTCTGCTAAATCTGCCCATAAGTTCCATTTGATGTGAGGATGTGTTTGAAGTTTCTCCTTTGTTTATTTTTCGACTGAATATTTAACAGCATTTCTATTGAAGTCCTCGCGGTGCTGTTTCATTCCATCTGTTCCTCATTCCCACAATGCTGCACATCTGTGACATTTGCTTGATTCCCCCAAATGGGGAGGGAGACAACAGCGCAGGCTACAATTAAAGGCTCGTGTGCGGCCCATCCTGCCAAAAGACAGTCTGGGTCATTGAAGAGCAAAGGTCAGAGGTCCAGCCTATCCTCAGTTTGACAGGACTAACTCTCATCACATCTGGAGCCAGTTCACTGGCAGGCATCCCCCAGTAGGACTGAAATTATCATATTTATCAGAGCCTCATTCATAAGAAACACTCATCTTGCATTTCACCCCCAATATATGCAGACAATTCACTTTACAGTATATTCTGTGAAGCGATTTGAGACGTCTCAAAGGCATGATAAGGCACTATATCAATTGCAAGGATTATTATTACCTGTAACAAGTCAGATACATTGAGAATCACTTGCTAGCTATCAAAATTATTCCTGATATGAAAGAGACAAACAGCATTACATTTCAACCATTCAGTTTCCTTTTTCTTTTTTATAGTTGTTACAATACAATTTACACTTATCTAATAGTGGCTTCCAGATTGGGAGGATGTCCCAAAGCACTCAAGGATTTATCAGAGCCTATTGGATCCAACTAGAAAAAGAAAAAAAGTGTATTTGATATGGTGATTTATCATGTTGAAATGTCTTAAAGCCCTTCACAAACAGTTACTGTCAAGCACAGTGACTGTTTTGTGGACAAACTTAGCAGCAAAGACCAACAAACAGCCGTGAGGTGAACAACCAATTCATCTGGAGGATTAATTGACCAGGACACCAGGAGAGAAACTCCCTTCTCTTTTATAAGTGTAACTCACATGTTTCTCTGGTGTTGGAAATTTCAGAGAGAAACCACCCTCTGAAAGATGACAGTAACGCAGTCTTGTGTTCATTCCTAAGCAAAAGTGGCCACTAGTCAAACTGGACCAGATTTTCATTTTTCTCGCCTTCTTATCTGTTTTTATAACTAGATTTTTTTTTTAAAAATTACCTTTTCAGTGTCCTTTGCCAATACTATGACATTTTGGCCATGTGCTTTTTTTAAAAAAAAGGCTGTGATCAATGCTCCTCCATGATCAGTTGATGTGAGGCATACTTTTGCAAGGTGCTGCTGTTCCTGATGTCTTCCATCCCATTCCTCTGTCTCTCTCCTACCCCAACAATTGCTTTGTACACACAAAGTGTTCCATCTAAAAGCCCGGGCCAGCAGGACAGATCTTAACTCAAGGAGTATTGAATTTTAATGACAGTCAAGGCCTGCATTCAAAGTTAAAAAGGGTTTTACTTTTTTAAAGGTGTTTACAGTTTACACTGAAATGGTAATCTATACACTGGTTGATTTGTACCTAAATTGGCTGATTTAAGGTTAACAAGTAAGAAACAAGAAAATAACCATATTACCCCCTATGAGTCATTTTTTTCCAGTAGATCTTCTACAGTTTAAGCACTCCATGACAAGTTGTTGTTATTGTTGCCAGTGCCTTGGGATGCCCTCTTGATGTGAAAGGTGCTACAGAAATGGAGCTTTGTATTGTATCATGTTGTTGTTTTCTACATTGATGAACTGTCACTAAGTTATCAGTTTGCGTATATATTGTATGTAAAAAAATCCTATCATTTCACAAACTCTTCTTCACCTGAGTCGTTGACTCATGTTGAGATACAAGTCCACAGTCTCACATCTTCTGGTACCTCATCCAGCAAAGAGGGTGACACCCACTGTGAATGTCAGTAGCATATATGACTTTGAGGGACATTGCAGTTCACATCAGTGTTGCCCTCAGCCAATTCCATAGTGGATCACTATCTAGTGACCAGGAGTAGGTACCTCAGCTCACTCCACTCACTAGTCCAGAATCACTGAGGTTACAAACCTGACTTAGATCAGCCAATAAAACAGACCAGAAGCCGCAAATTCCATCTAGTGTCATTCTGTAAGACCCTGTTGCTTTAAAATAAGGCTCGGGTATTAAATTTGGGCATTTCCTGATTTGCAGATCTTAAAATACCAGTACATCTCTTCACTGACACATCGAATGGAAGCCCATTTAACACTCAATATTGATCCTAATAATAACCAACAGCTCATTCAAAGGAAATATGGTAGAATTGCTTTCACTCTTACTATAACCTGTTGGCAGTCTATGAAAAGATTGTTATAGCCTATTCTGTGAAGCGCATTGAGAAGTCTAGAAGACATGAAAAAGCACTAGCTATATCAAATGCAAGGATTATTATTATTATAAAGAGTGTTTCCTTCCCTCACTTTTGTTTCTAGATTTCATGCATTTCTGCTGTTTATGGGCCATCCCCCATATGCCATCCGAGAAGCCAGCATTCACAGGTTCTGTAAGATAATCAGCGAGTTTGCCCTGGAATATCGCACCACCAGAGAGAGAGTCTTACAGCAAAAGCAGAAGAGAGCCAACCACAGAGAAAGAAACAAGACCAGGGGCAAAATGATCACAGATGTAAGTTGTGGCATTTGTTTGCAATTAAATATTGACTGGTTTGACACAGGCATGATGGTGACCGAATTGTCCCTTTCAGTGCATAAAATGTTTTTGCTTCTATGGCGCTCCAGTGATCTCCTCACCGAGGCTGGTGACCCTCGTGTCAGATGGGGTAAGGAATGTGGAGCACACTCTGCTTTGCAGAGCACTTCTACTCTAGAAACCATTAGCCCTTCTCAGAAATGAGTTTGGTTTTCAATGTGCTCCCAGGTGAGGAGGCATTGCTGGACAGATCATTAATAAAACGATCTGTCATACTCATGTGAAGCTATTCAGTAACCCCAGTGTGATAGATGGGTGATAAGAGTCACGTGATTGCTAACTCTGTTCTGCATTTCTTATTTAGAAGCTGGAAATATATTGGAGTTTGTTAATTGGACTTGTTAGATCTCATTAACAGGGGATTTTGATGCTGATTGTTGGGAAGAAAGAGCATTTAAGAGAAACAGTGAAAAGGCAGAGATGGACTTAAAAGATCTGTCATGATGTAATAAGTAGCAGAACAGGTTCAGTGGGCATGTCAGACCTTCTTTTGTCACTATTATTCTTCCTCTCCTATTTGTAATGGACTGCAAGTGATTCTCCATTCTGGCACCAGTATTAATGACAGTCAAGCAGAAAACTATTATTCTCTTTCCTTTTTGCGTGGTGCAGAGGGAGAAATGAAAACAATATGTGAAAAAAGTAAGACATTTTGACTATCATTTAGAGTGTGTGTGTGTTTTAGCATTTCCACATACTCTATTTGAAGTTTGGGATGAGTGAACTGACCAAGATTTAGATGTTCATTTCTGTTCTGTTTTGCTGATCTCAAATTGAAACCACCTCTGAATTTGAAACAAAAACTTCAACTCACCTGCCCCCTCAAAAAAGGAAACATGCCTTATCTATGCCAATTATTGGATATTGAAGTCTTGAGCAAAATCAGACAAACACAGACTTGAACACTTACAATAAAATACAATTTATATTTCATGTAGCTTCCACATCAGGAGTTAGTCTCAAAACATTGACAATGTTGGTTGGGCACTTTTATGGCTTTGAAACAAAACCCATATTTATCCACAGAAATATGGAAAAGCTACATTTAGTCTACTCCCTTTCCCTGTTATATCCCCTATCCAAACATTTCCAGTAGATTCAGGTTCAGGTTTGCGAGTGTCACTACTGGAACACTGTTAAGTAGATGTAGGTGATTTCAAAAGTTGTAGGTGAGTTATTCCCACCACCATGTGGTCCTACCTCAGCAAACTAACCTTCCTCAGCAAAACTGATGTCTTGAAAATGAGGAATATTAAAGGGACCGAGATAGAAAGTGGGGTTAAACCAAGTGGCTCACCAGTGCAGATTTAATGGGCTGAATGGTACCGTTTCTGTGATACAGTATGGCATGATTCTATGACAAACCTCACTTGAGGAAACGATAACTCTCACTTGTGTGAAATTACAGTAATCTTTGCATTGTGCTCTTGCCTACCTAGGAATAATGTTAAAAAACATACTGAAAATGGGATAAACCAAGGATAAAGTAAATATAATGTGAAAGGCATTGTACTGAATTACAGAGTTTGACTCTTGACTCAAAGGACACCAAGGCAATTCACCGCCTACTTTATTTGTTGCTCAAAGCCATGTAATCCCCTGGCTCTTCATATATTTGACCAGTTGGAATGTGTGTTCTACCCAGGAAAATAAATAGATCCAGCCCTAAGTACATAAACATTTAATTTGGCGTTTGTAGTGAGTAAAAATTCTGGCAGTAGAAACCAAAAAATTTTTAAATTATTTCCTCAAGTACTATTTTAGCATCAAAATCCGGCCTTATTGTTGTGTAACTTATGACCTGACAGAGACTGAACTTTGCAGAAGAGAGACATAGAATCAAGGAAACAGCCGATCAAGTCATGACTGATGTTTTACTCTGGGTGAGCCACCTAGTCTAATCCTACTCTCCTGCTTGCTTCCTCTACCCTTGAATATTCCTCTTTTGCAAGACATCAGGTTTGCTGGGGAAGGTTAGCTTGTTGAGGATGGACCACCAACAGGAATAAATCATCTACAATTATTTCTGATTCACTGTATTCTATCAACTACTCATAAAGCTGCAGTATGGTGCTCTGAACATCTGCTGCTCAGAGTTGGACAGTACTGCACTGTATTCTGGTCCTGCCATGATCAATTGTGTGTGTTGTGTGGGTGCACAAATTAGATGATGTTTTGAATTGTACTACTGGTTCCATTTGTAAGCAGGCAAATTGTTAAAATCTGAATGTGTACTGCTGTGCCAAGATTTTTCACATGGAAATACCAACGTGCACGATAAAGCTGCCAGTGTGGGCCTCCCGGTTGGTAAGTCAGAAATTTTAGAATAGGAAAAGTCCATTAGCTTTAACCAGCCATTTCCCTTTTGGCTGTACATTGTTACTGCTCAGTATGGAACCAAGGCATCGCTCCAAGGAAGTCTCATTTTCAGTTTCTGCTTCATCTGAGTTTAGCTGCACTCAGCTAGCGATGCTGTGGAGGTGCTACAGGCCCAGTTCCAACCCTCACTCCCCACCATTCCTTTCTAGTCTGGGAGAAAACGAATGAGCCAGAGCTCCTGTGTTTGATGGCTTTTCAGTGATGGGTAAGTCAAAGTCCAAGGAGGTCAATTGATGAGGACAGGATCAGGCTCAGTTCCACGGTTGAACTCGTTACTTTTGAGATGAACGTGAAGAATAGGCACTTGTGTGAGGTTGGGATGGTGGGTATGTGTGAAAATGTACCTCATTACCTGAAAAATATGAATAAATTACAGGGAAGCACAACAACTTTGCTCACAAATATAGTCAATTCACTTTACAGTATATTCTGTGAAGCGCTTTGAGACGTCCAGAAGACGAGAAAAGCACTATATCAAATGCAAGGATTATTATTATTTATATATCACTCTTGACTCGGGTAGCATCTCAGAGCGCTTTAAAGTGCATTTCTTTTTTTCCTGATGATTTCCTCAGGTACCATTTTAGTATCAAAATCCAGACTTGTGTAAATTGTGACCTGAGGGAGGCTGAGGTTTGCAGACGAGACCCATACAATCATAGAATCAAGGAGACTGGCCATTCAGCCATTAACAACAATAGCTTGCATTTATATAGGGCCCTTCACACGGATACTGTCTTCGAGCATTTTAAAGTACATTTTTCGAAAAAAGGTAATTCGTTCAAAAGTTCAAGCACTCTGGGACGCTATCGTGTGTGAGGGACGCTATATAAGTTCAAGTTGTTGTTGTACCTAGTGGCAACATTTGCTTGTAAATCTTTTTGCAAAACAATTAAAAAACACACATTTTGGCAATACACCATCCCATGGCTCAATAGTGACTGGTTGGAAAGAGCTAATTGTTCTGTCAGTAGAGAATTTGCCTTCTCGATTGTTATAAAGTTCATTTTTTTTCTAAATCAATTCACAGATTGTGAAGTTTTCATTTCATCTTTCTATGCTCTGCAGCAGATAAACTCTGGAAAATAAACAATAATTTGCATTTATACACAGCCCTTTATGCGAAGTAGAGTCTCAGAGTGCTGAATAGTGGCAGAGTTTGATGGAGATAAAGGGAAGGTGAGGAAATTCGTCAGGTGCGATTTGAAGACGGGTAAAGAGGGGTCAAGAGAGAGGGATTGAGACAAGGAGATCAGGAGGTAAACATCAAGCAAAAGACTTAAAAGCCTGTCTAGGAACACAAATTTACAATTACATCATCTCTACTTCAGGAGTAACAAAGATGGCAGTGATCCAGGTCTGAAGAGGAAGATTCCACTTCCCCGGAAGGGAGCACTGCCACCTAATGGTCATTTACCTGGCATAAATGAACACAACGCTATACATAAAACATTGCAAACACACTCTTCACATACCCACCTACCTACCCACCAACTCTTCTCACAGCGACAAACAGATACCTCGTACACACTTCACACATTGCATTGCAAGCCTGCAATTCGCCTCTACCCACAAAAAGTGCCACGTGTTTGAGGCCAGCAAGCAATAGGTTGCAGTGCATGTATATATAGCTCAGTAATTCTCCTATCCATGGCTTTGCACACTTTACACAGTAACTGGGCCTACTATTCATGATAAGGCACTATATCAATGCAAGGATTATTACTACTCTTCACTCCCTTCACACACGCACTCTTGCCACACACACCTCACATACACAACACACACAAACACACACACACTGCACTGCTTGCCTGCTATTCCCCTGCCCCGCAAAGAGCACACAGTGACATGGACGTGCTTTGTACCTTTCTCCTCTCATGCACATACCACACAACAATACAAGTACATGGTGTACCTGGCATTTTCTCTTTCTCTCCGCACAGTCACGAGTATCTTTCAGCGGATTACTGAATAGCAATCAGGAGTGGAAACACTGGCTGAATTTCCTCTGTTAAATTCCAGAAGTGAGTTCTAAATCAATTCACAGATTGTGAAGTTTTTTTGCCTCATCTCCAATACAACTTCACTCCAACTTTTCCTAGACAAAACACTGGAGAAAAATAATATACTTTTCATTGAATGCATCAAATCTAACCTTCTCCATCTTTGGAATATTGGCTGGAGTCTGTTATATTTCACTGGGTACTGTTCTATGCCTTGGAATCACAGAAATTTGCAACACAGAAGGACCTTGTTTGGCCCATCGTGCCTATGTCACCATAATGTCACCAGATCATTAAGCACTGATGCTCCTTGGTGAGATAAATGCTGTCTGCACTACCAGTGCTGTAAATCTCCAGATGNAAAAAAATGAGACAAAATACTCCAACCAACATAACGTATTTCCAGCTGAGATTGCGTGCATATGTACTATGCACACAGCTGTGAGTGATATATTGCACACCAGTTAACCAGCAGGGATCCATGCTGGTGGGATTGTTGGTTAAAGAGAACATTTGCTTGTTCTCTACACATAGTTATCAATTACCAAATATGGAATCATATCATAACAAGTGTTCCAACTCACTGATACTGCAATGCCTCACTGATGATAACTCTGCAAGCACTGACTCAGGCTCTCTCATTGCAAACTTTGGCCTTGTGACTCCTATTGCAAAGATTCTCAGGAATAAGCAAATGTATGCATATAAGTAAGACTGTATCCAAAATGTTTACAATACTGCTGCATAAATTGTCAAGGGAGGGAGCAGAGAGCCAAGACAAATTTGGGCAGGGACTGGGGGAAGCAAACTGAATTTATTCAGTTACAGGCTTTATGGGGTGTGGGGTGTACACTGCCACATGTAACAAAGCTCTGGTGTCTCTTTTGTCACTGTTGACTCTTGGGGCTCTTAGTAATCATACTTATTTTTTGAATTTGCCTCTCTGGTCAACTATTCCATTCAAACCTGAACGACTGCATATTTGTTAATCATCAGAATTCACTCAGTGATCTTAGCCATTGCTGACAATCTGATTATTCTTTAGGAACCAAATGTCCTCTTCAGCTTTCATAATCCACACCTGTTTTCTATCTTGGAACATCTGTGAAACAGTTTTGCAACCTTCTGATGTGAAACCACTGAAATTAGAAAAACGTCCAGAGCTAAAAAACCACCTCAAATGCATTTTATGTTTGAAGACACAAAGCCTTTTAATTTTTTTTATCTCGTTGCAGAATCTCCCCTCTCAAACATTTGAGAGTTAGCAAATTCAGTCACTTTGGAGTGGCCGATAACTTTATCCAAAGGGAAATTTAAAGGCTGGGTGGGAAGAGCTAAAGTAATTGCCACACTTTTGTCTCCCAAGCTCAGTACCAGGAGGATAGTGTTATTCTCAAAGTGCACAGCATAATAGCTTATGACTCAGTTACAGACCAGACTATGGCTTTACCCACTAGGCAGTCAGGGATCAGTGTTTGTAATCTCTGAGGGAAATTTGGTTCCTATTATTTATTCCAGAATTTCTGTATGAAAATTGCTGACAGAGAGAGAGATGTAGGATAGCAATTCTCAACCTGGTTTTTTAGCACCTTATTATATCCTCCCAACGTGAAAGGCACTATATAAATGCAATTTATTATTGTTGATATTTTAAACAGGGTCTTAACTAATTGGTGGTGAAAATTGTTAAATTCAGCCTGAATTCCGAAGCGGGATTTTCTCAGTTCTTAAAAAGAGCTGCTTTTGAAATATTGAAAAATCTGTTGTGTGCCTCACTCGTCTAAATTTATAGAACATAAGAATTGTGTGAAAATTTGGCTCATAGGTGTGGTTTAAGTGCTCTGAGATGCCGTCCGGCGTGAAGGCCTCTATATAAATGCAAGTTGTTGTTGTGGTTGGTGGTGACATCATCCGCAGACATGGAGTTAACTTCCACATGTATGCGGATGACACCCAACTCTACCTTTCCTCCTCTACTCTCAACTCCACGACCACCGATGTCCTGACAGCCTGTCCGACATCGAGTCCTGGACGAGAGACAACTTTCTTCAGCTCAACGTGCGAAAAACCGAGGCCCTCCTGATTGGCTCACGTCAGCGCCTCCGCACCTCAGGCGCTGACACCATCAGCATCCAAGGCTGCGCTCTCCACCTCTCAAAGCCAGTCAGGAACCTCGGCGTTTTGTTCGACCCTGAGCTGTCCTTTCTCCCTCACATCCGCACCACAACTGGCACCGCCTTCCATCACCTCCGGAACATCGCCAGACTACGGCATTACCTCACCCCTCACGCTGCTGAAACCCTGGTTCACGCCTTTGTCACCTCAAGGCTGGACTATGGGAACTCTCTCCTCGCCGGCCTTCCCGGCACCTCCCTCCACAAGCTGCAGGTCATTCAGAACTCTGCAGCTCGTGTACTGTCCCGCACCAGGCTTCGCGACCACATCACTCCCACCCTCGCTCGCCTCCACTGGCTCCCCATTCCCCAGAGGATTGATTTCAAGATCCTCATCCTCACCTACAAGGCCATTCACGGCCTTGCTCCCTCCTACCTCTCCGACCTACTATCCCCCTACCTACCTGCCCGTACCCTCCGTTCCTCTGGCTCCGGTCTGCTCCACGTCCCCCGCCCCAACCGCCCTACCATCGGTGGTCGGGCCTTCAGCCTCTCAGCCCCCAGGCTCTGGAACTCCATCCCCCAGTGCCTTCGCCTTGCTTCCTCCCTCTCCTCCTTCAAGGCCGGTCTCAAAACCTTTCTCTTTGACCGAGCCTTCAGCTCCCCTCTCGACTCTCTTCTCTCGACTCTCTTCCCCCTCCTCGCTCCCTCCCTTCCATCCCCTCACCCTGACCATTTCCCCCCTCCTCGCTCCCTCCCTTCCCTCCCCTCACCCTGACCATTTCCCCCTCCTCGCTCCCTCCCTTCCCTCCCCTCACCCTGACCATTCCCCCCCTGCTTGGGTTATGACCCAACTGTGCAGCGCCTTGGGACGTCCTCCTGACGTGAAAGGCGCTTTATAAATGGAATCTTGTTGTTGTTGTGGTTCAACTAGGAATAAACAGTCACTATGCTTTACAGTAAATTGTGTGAAGTGCTTTGAGATGTTTCAATGATGTGATAACACGCTATAACAAGGAATATTATTATTATACGCTAGTATGGTAGCCATTCTCCATGAGTGTGCTGAGATCGGGATTTGACCTGCTTTACTAGATCTGCTGAGCACTAAATGCAAGTCAAAGCTTGAGATGAAGGCTTCTGTCACAGCCCATGCATTTATCCAGAAATGTGATTGAAATTCCACATCTCCTACAACCTACCATTCAGTTGGATCTGCAGAATTGTTCAGATCACATTGCCTAGTGTTTTACTGATCAGAGGAGAAGACCCTCTGTCTATGTGGCAAATTTCAAAGTTCAACAACTTGTGCAAGGGAGATATGGAGCTGCTCCCACCCAGGGGTTATGCACATATTTCAATCACTGCTGCACAGAGGCAGTTGAGTCAGTGATAAGAGGTAATCATTGATGATTATCACCAGAAGAATAACTAGGGAGGTAAGATTTGTTTTTGTACATAGAGAGCTGTTAGATTGTGAAATGCTTTACCACAAATGGCTCTTCAAGTCAATCTTTAACAGTATTCAAGAAAGAATTGGATAAACTGTTAAAATTAATAATATTAGACATGAGATTGGAGGAGATAGCTCCAGTGGGGGAATCAGCAAAGACATCATGTGCTGAATAGTTTCTTTCTGTGCTATAAACATTCTAAAATTTTATGAAGGGTATTTNAAAAAAGGAAATCTGTCAATGCACAATCTCTAAGGAGTTGCAGAGATACTATCACATGAGTGAGATTTTACCAACAAAGCACTGCTAGTTGCTACCCTAAGCATTTGTCTGTAATATGAGGTAACTGAGATGCATGTCTCATTGATCCCTTGTAATCTGGCCAATTTTCCATTGTCTTTTGTAACTTGTGTTGACTCTTCATTTCTCTATGTATATCATGCTTTTTCCTCTTTGCTTTCCTCTCTCCCTCCCACCCTCCCTTTCTCCGCTTCCTTTCTAGACTGATGATGAAGATGATGGTGAGGTACGGTTGCTGGGTGGCATTGTGCTGGATGTTTGTTTGCCTTGTGTTATCACCAACACCGCCTTTACACTAACGACAACATGAGAAGCAATTGATGGCCGGCCTCTTCTGTTCCATTGCATCTTTTAAAACCGCATTAACCTATTGGCCTTGTTCTTGAGTGCTTTAACAGGCGCGATTTCATGAGTATTAACATCTGGGGAGCTGGTGATCCACTAATTTGCCGGCGATCATCATGACAGTTTTTGATTCCTTCCAGCTGCCGAGGTCTCTATTGGCACTGGCTGCACATATCTATCCAAGTCTTTCATGTCAGTACTCTAATCTGATAGTGTCTGCCTGCATTTCCTTTTCATGGGATGTTACACTATAATTGTACCCTTTCCTACATTTGCTTCCAAGTTCAAGTTTGCTTCCCCGGGCGATTATTTTGTAAACTACCCTTTCATCTCTGTTAGTTATCTTAAGGAATAAGCAGAAGGCTCCTGCATTAGCCAAGTGGGCAAAGAGACTGCACAGTGTAACACTGAGCCATACAGAAAGTTAACTTCTGAACTCAAACAATTGTTTTCTGTTGGAGTCCCCCAGTGATTGTGCCCGGTTGAATTTATGCTCCTAAAACGTCATAATTTCTTGTGGAGAGGCAGGATTTCCTATGGTGTAGGATGGTAACTGAGCCTTGCTGACTGAACTCACTGGTGTCTGTCTCATCATTGTCTGGTCTTGTCACCTCAACCGCTATTTGATAATGTGCCATTACAGAACTATTACATGTTTGCTGAATTTGCCTACAAATACATAAGTCAAGACTTTGAGCTCGCAGTCCAGAATGACACTCCAATGTAGCACTGGTGGAAGGCTGCATTGTCAGAGCTACACTGTCCTTCAGATAACAATTTTAAACCAAGATCCCGTCTGCCTGTTCAAAGGAACATTAGAAATCCCATGGCAGTATTTGAAAAGAGAAGGGAGTTCTGATGTCCTGACCAACAATTCCCCAGATAAAAAGTTGATCGCGCACTTCATTGCTGTTTGTAGGTCACTGTTTGTGGGAAACTGGCTGTTGCACTCCCCGACAAATGCACAGTCACTACACTTCACAGTAAATCCTGCGAAGTGCTTTATCAATTGTATGGCTTGCTGCTACACCTTTACCTATTCAGCTATTAGGACAGGACTAATGATCTTAAGGAATGAAATGCAATTATTGATTGTCTGAAATCAAACGAGAAAATTAATGGATAAACACACCAGGCTGCTCAGTAGCTAATCAGAGTTGTATATCTTGCATTGCCATCGATGTTAGGTACTTCTGACTTCCACAATGACAGCATACTGAGACTCCTTCAAGCAAGACAATCTCTGTGCGGATGCTAGCTTGCAAGGAGAAATGGCTTAACCCTTTTCAAAATCGTCCTTGAACTTTTAAAAACAAGTTGATTGACATTCCACAGAGCTTTGATGGGGTACATGAAATGTTTTTCAGATGATTTTAAAAAAGAGTAGAATAATGTTTTAAAATTGCAACAAATTGTCAATCCTGTTATGATATGCATTAGAGGCCAAACTTCTCATGGTTTTAGCCTTAAGGCCAATATCTCAAAATTTAAGAATGCATATAATTTTGGAGAAATTCTTAAATTCGCTTTTAATGTAGATGCTGCTTTTCTGCAGTTTTCAAGTGATTTTTGAACAATTTTCCAATTTTTAAGATATTTTCAATTTTGAATAAATTGCTTAAAGTTAACAGCATGAGGAATTTGGGATTTTTAATGCCCCCTCTCCCATCCCCACCCCACCCTACTGCATACACACCGCATATGTTCATAGCATGCATGTGCATCAGTGGGTCAATAGAAGATTGCAGTGCCATGCCACTTGTTTTTTGGCCTGCTGAAGGAATGATAGTAAATGTGCTTCTGATCCATTGTACAGACAGGAAAGTTCTCCACCAACACCACCAACGCCTCGAGCAGCAGACAGCCACAAGGACTCCAGTACGCAGAAGAGGCAGCAGAACACGAGAACATGAAAGCCGTACTCAAAACGTCCTCGCCCAGCGGAGAGGTCGCTACCTGTGTGCCAGGCACGCGCACACGAACAAGAGCCAACAGAGGTAAGAGTTGTCACAGCGCAGCCATTCATCCTGCGCCAGAGATGGAAAGCTTAAGTTTGTGCCACAACCAAAGGGTCCCTATGTTGCTATTGCAGAAAATCTCTGATTTGCAGGACAGTTCAAGAGTATAAACTTTTCCCTTGCAGCTCTTGGTGTGACATGTGTCTTTGAGTATGAAAACTGCCAGTGAACTTGTAGCATTACTAAGCTGTGATTCAATGTGTGGATGAGAATCTAAGATGCTGTGTTTGCCTCTGGCTAGAGGGAGACATAATGTTAAGATTAGAGCTAGGACAGTTCAAAGTGAAATTGGAAAATAATTCTTCACAGAGTGGTGTGAAAATGTGGAATGTATTGCTCCAAATGTTGTCGAGGCGAAATCTATTGGGATGCTTAAAAAAACAGACACGTGGACAGACAGCAAATACTGGGAAGTGATGATATTTGTTACACCTGATATAGCACTTTTCACGTCAGGACACCTCAAAGGTCTTCACAGAATTTACTGTGACGTGGAGTGACTGTGTACTCTGTGGATGAAGGCAACAGACAATATTGTGCACAACAACGTCCCACAAATAGCTATGAAGTAAATGACTGATTTGAGTTTTTTGAGGGTTGGTGGGTTTGTTGGCCAGGACACCGGACAAAACTCCCTTCTCTTATTGAATAGTGCCATTCTTTATGGGATCTTTAACATACATGTTAACATGTGGAGTCTTTAACATGTGACTCCATGTAACATCTTTAATATGTGAAGTCTTTAACATCTTTAACATGTGGAGTCCTGTCAGTGGTTAGAGCACTCGCCTCGCAAGCGGGAGATCTGGGTTTGATTCCTGACAGGGCAAAACGTTGGGCAAGTTTGCTTAATCCACACGCCTCTTTACCTAGCAGTAAGTAGAGTCCGGTTGTTAGTTGATTAGCAGATCGCTTTTCCGGGGATAATAATTTCTTCATAAATAATAAAAGGTCACTAAATCCACAAATATTTGTGGGACACTGCTGTGCACAATTGGCTGCCGCATTTCGCCCACAAAATATACAGTCAATTCAATTTAAAGTATATTCCGTGAAGTGCTTTAAGACGTATCGAAGACATGATAAGGCTCTATATTAAATGCAAAGATTATTATTATACACCTGAATAGGCGGATGGGACCCCAGTTTAACATCTCATCCTAAGGACACGGTATAATGGAAAAGACAGGTAAATGGGATCAAACAATCTGCCATGGTCTGATAAACTAGTGGAACAGGTTTGAAGGACTGAATGGCCTCCGGTTCCTATTGCTGAACCCTCACCCTGGTGATGTGCCACTCCCTCTCTAGGCCGTGTTGGATCCTGGAACCCGGGTAACGATGATTCTCCAAATGCCACAGATGATGCTGCAGATGAAATTATGGACCGGATTGTAAAGTCTGCCACCCAAGTGCCAAATCAGAGAGCGGTGCCGAGAGAGAGGAAACGCTCACGAGCAAACAGGAAGTCTCGTAAGTTATTGAAATTTCTCTCTTGCTCCTTAAATGTTACGGTCGGGATGTAAAAAGGGCTCCTTCGCTTCACTCCCGAGTACAGCAGCATCTCCATTATGTGGTATTGGACGTTGGCATTGGAGAACTTCATGATGCTTAATACATGCTGTTTGCCAATGCTAACTTTTCATTCCACATTTAGAATGAAAGATTCTATCAATCCTACTGTAAGTGGCGAATTCAGTATTTGCTAATTTGAGAATTTTAGGGCCCCTCCCCCACTGTTAGGAGCCATTCCGAAAATCATCTTAAAATGCCTCAAATGATAGTTTTTCAAAGTATTAATTTACAATTGGTGCACATACAAACAGTGCAATTATGGGCAGTATTATAATATGGCCATTTGTATAATTCTTTAAATTTCCTCCTAACACAAACTCAACACATGTCGACCTAAAAAATTCTCAGATGCCAAACGACTGCATTTGGAATTTGACCACAGTCTCCATTTGTGAGAAGTGACATGAAAAATCTGTTCAACACATCAACCATGAGTGTTTAATAATATCTCTTCCTAACATCCTTTCCTCCTAGCTGATGAAATATCTCTGCTGACAAGTGGCTCCTGCAGGGAGGTGGGATGGGATTCAGGAATTTAGTGAAAAACTCAAGAAAAGCAAGGGAAGAAAGACAAGTTACATTAATTCCCGCAGCTGGGTTTTGACAAGCATCTGGAATTATTTCCTTACTATAGTTATGCACGCCAGTCAGTCATTAGCAAATGGGCATGTTGGATGCAACCTTATTCTGTTACCTTGAACGGTTTGACCTTAACGGGAATATTTTCTTCTTGTAAATTAGAGCTGTTTGATCACTGAGAGTGAATAACAATGAGCAATGAGGCTGTCAAAATATTCATTCGGTCACTCCCATGGCATTTCAGAACTGGGTAGCTGAAACAACATGAAAATGATTTCAAAATAACTCTTGACGAATTTATTTTCATAAAGTCACTCTTTGTGCTTCAATGCATTTCACCCTGACATTCTTTGGCTGAGAATGTTAGTAGACAAACTCTTCTCAAGACTTTTACCAATACCACTCTGGAAGTGGCCAAATTTGCTGGAGTGATCTGATGCAGTTTGGCTTACAGAACTGCCCTTTCTGCCTGGTGATTCATCCAATATCATGCGCTCCCTGTATCTTTACAGGCTGTACTGCTCCTTGTGCCGAAAGTCTATATACAAACAGACAGCAAGAGGTGTAGGTGCTCCCAGGCCTCTCTTATTGCACTCTGAAGCTTGTTACTAAACAGTGGGCGTAGGTATCTGTTTCAATGTTCTTGCCACCAAGGGGGAGATGCGTTGGTCAGCTGCTATCAGAAACCTCCCCTGAACTGTGACATTCCATGTATTTTGGTTGGTCGGATGTCAAACCCAACAAATTTAAGAGTACAAAACAGAGTGAGAGTTCCACATAACTATACATAGTAGTATACTATAGGTCGTATTGTCTGTAATAGAATGTACACATTCTCCGAGAAGGAATTTATTCTGCTTACCTAATTTTGGATAGTATTAGACACAGGTTGACAAGAGCCAAGGCATGGGAACCCCAAAGTGTGTATTGGGGTACTACTGTTGTTTAACCAGCTGAAACCCCCATTGACTGCCCTGTCTGACAAGCTTCCCGCTGCTTCAGCGGGTAGGTCCACAGTACCCATTAGGGCTTTGGCTGGCAGGCTTAACAGGAACCGAGTGGGAAGAATTCCAGTGACTAATCTGTCCCTACAAGTCCTGCAGATGCGCCCTGGAGTACTATAGGGCAAGCTCATAAATCGGACATCCGTTTCTAACGTTTTGTTGCCAAAAACATCACCAGGGAACCAACTCAGTATCAAGGAGACCATGCTTGCCTCCTCCCCAAGGTGTATGATCATTGGTTGTCATTTGACATTCAACAAGCACATTCATTCCATGGTCTAGTGGTGTCACAACTCTCAGCTGCAGGGTTTTCTGTGAGAAAGTATCCACTACAGTTTCAGTATTAGGGAGAGATGCACTTTGTCAAGGGTGTCTCAGGGTGTTATAGTGAAGGGTTCTGTTTTGGGAACACTCTTTTCCTTTCGCAAACGCACCCTGCCAGAAAACTGGAAACCAGACAGTAACACACACTAAAAAAACGCTTTTGGAGGAAAGCTGCCCAATTTGTATGACTTCACCGCAACAGACAAATCATGGTGTTGAAAAGGGAATCAGATTTCAGCATTTGAAGGAGGTGTGATTCATTTGGCTATTGTGGAGACATGTCTCCTTTTAGGATTAACAGAGTTTATTAGGATTTCACAAAAACAGACAAAACATAATGCCAGGTCTGTCAGACATTATCTGCAACAATCCAAGCAAATCCACTACAGGAATGAATTCCACCATCTGAGCAGATAGAAAGCAAACTAGGATGGTCCATGAACTATAATTCTTACAGTTCTTATTCCCTTGGAATAAAAAGACTGAAAAAGGTGATTTTTTTTGAGCGAACTTTCTTGATTCATATAGCCTGCATGTGTCAAGGATCTAATGACAGAAAGAGGACACCTGGTTTAGTGAAGATAGATTCATTGGACCTATGCCTTCAACCCCAATATTGCTGCTGGATCCTCTTTGCTTCTCCAGGGAATGTATCTTTTGTTCCTGTTTCAATCTGTCACCAGTTGGGTCTCACTGGCCCAGCCATTTATTGCCAAGAAGGGTTCTCTCTCTCTCCCTCTCCCTCCCTCCCTCCCTCCCTCCTTCTCTAATCCATTCCTTTCCATCTTCTCCTCCACTCCTCTTCACTGCTCTATGTCACCTTATTTGATCTCCAAGTTATGAATCAGTTTACTGAGTCACGTGAATGCAGTTCAATAAAATAGATTTATACATTCATATCTCATGTGGACTTAACGGTAGAGCATCCTTTTGGTACAAGTGAGTAAAGCTTGGGAATGCTACAGAATAATTAGTTTGCTACGGTCTTCCCCATCACTCAGAAATTGTTTCCTGGGAAGAAGACCGGTTAGAGCAGTGAGAAAGCCATAGTCCAACTGTGATGTGGGGCGGGGGGGGGGGGGGGGAGCAATTGTCTGATTACAGTTAGTCTAATTGGGCATAATTTTCTGAGGCGATAATTGTCATTGGTGAAAATTATAATATGATGTATCTTTCAGAATTTTATCCTCTTCACCCACATCTAGTTCCGCTTCCTGAATACCTTGTTGTTTTCAGGTCGTTTTTAGTCTCACGGAGATCTGTTATTTTAGGTGTCTTCTCCCTTGCTGCTCTGTTGATATAAGTTATGTGAATGCCTCATCCATGTGTTTTTCTTAAGCTAGAATTTAGGGCTTCAGCCTTGAATTGCCTGAGTCTGGGAATAATCACTGGTGGCTAAGGACTGCTTCGCTAAGTCTTTGCCATCTCAGACCCTGAGGAAACAAACAGCACATGTAGCAACTGACCAGCGCTCCTGGAATATGGGTAGTCAATCGCACAGTTGCTTTTGTTTTGGAAAACCCGTAAAAATAGATTGCAGCAGCATTTCTAATGCCTGACATCCATTGTCTTCACTCAACTTTGCATGCAACTCATGTTAAGTACAGTTCAGCCTCGCTCACAGATTTCAGGATAAATCAGTTGATGGCAAAGTTGGGAGTGTGACTCTTCTCAATGGGTATTAACAGTACCAGTATAATACAATTTATATTTATTCCTGAGAATCGAATTGTATTCCCTAATGAGATAGCGCTCTCTCCTTTCAGCTTCTACATATGAGACCGAGGCTCTCCTGATTGGCTCCCGTCAGCACCTCTTCACTTCAGGCGCTGACAGTATCACCATCCATGGTTGCACACTCAACCTTGCTAAGCCAGTCCAGAATCTTGGGGTCTTGTTCGACCCTCTCCTTTCTACCTCACATTCACACCATGACCCACTCTGCCTTCCCCACCTCCGCAATGTCGCCCGGCTCCGACACTGTCTCACACCGCAGGCCGCCGAAACCCACATTACATTGAGGCTCGACTGTGCAAACTGACTGCTTGTCGGCCTCCCCAACTCCTCCCTCCACAGGCTGCAGATCATCCAGAACGCTACAGCTCGTGTCCTCTCCCAAACTAGACTCCGTGACCCTATCACCTCCATTGTTGCCCAACTCCACTGGCTTCCCATCTCACACAGATACAGTTCAAGATCTTGGTCCTCACCTTCAAAGCTCTCCATGGTCTTGCTCCCTCCTACCTCTCCGACCTCCTAACCCCCTACCATCCTGTTCGGTCCTTCTGCTCAGCAGGCTCCGGCCTGCTTCACGTCCCCCGCCTTGCTTGCCCCACTATAGGTGAGTGGGCCTTCCGCCACTCTACACCCACCCTCTGGAACTTCATCCCGCAGTCCCTCCATCTTGCCCCCTCTCTCGCCACCTTAAAGACCCACCTCAAGACCCTCCTCTTCGACCGTGTTTTCGATATCCCTGCTTGCCCCCCTGCCTCCCCCTTCCCCCACCCCGACCCTCAGCTTGGGTCCGTAACTCTGTCTGTCCAGCGACTTGGGACGTCCTCCCGACGTGAACGGCGCTATGTAAATGTAATTTTGTTGTATTATTTTCACAAATCTCTGTAGGTGGTTCTGATAAGCAGCCACTCACAAGATTATTTGGGTGAAGAAGGCCCTTCGGTCCATCCAAACTCTATCCTCCAGAACATCCAACCTACCATCTCCCCATCAAACTGCTTTTTAAATGAGTCCAGTGTCCTGGCCTTTACCATCTTTCCTTGCAATCTGTTATAGTTGTCAATTACCCTCTGTATAAAGAAAAACTTCCTGGTAACTGTCGCGAAATTGTCCTTTACAACTCTAAACCTAAGTCCTCTTGTACTACTGTCTGGTTGCAATCTAAAGTATTGTTCTGGGTTTACTTTTCTCCACGGCTCCCCCCTCTTCACTTCTGTCCTCCTGATAAACCCAGGCTACGCCAGGTGCAATATTCTCAATGAATGTATATTATATTATCAGACTGTTTGAAAACTTTTTTTTAAGGGTGAAGAGAAATGTAGGATACTAAACTAAATAGTCAATAAATATTTAGATTAGTGCTTATCTACCAGATGAGAATAAGTACTAGATCTCTACATGAAATACATTCCTATCTATATAGCTATGTTAAAGCGTGGACTATCTAAATGTATAATTAGGAACAGGAAAGGAGTAGGCTATATGCAAGTCGAGGCTGTTCTTCCATTAGTTTATTAAATCATGACAGATCTTTCAATCCCATTTCCTTCCTTTTTTCCATATCCGTTAATACCCTTAGTTCCAAAATATATATAATCTATCTATGTAAACCGATAAAGACAGTGTTCTGTATGTGGAGTCTTGTGGCTCAATGGTTAGAGAACTCGCCTTGCAAGCGAGAGACCTGGCTTCAATTCCCACAGGGCGAAATGTTGTGCAAATTTCCTGACTCCACACTTGTTTGTTTAACTAGCAGTAAATAGGAACCCGGTTGTTGGTCAATTCGTGGATCGCTTTTCCAGGGGTAATAATTCCTTATAAAAAATAAATTGGTCCCCCATCCATGATTGTTTGTGAAACACTGCTGTGCACAATTGGCTGCCATGTTTCGCCCACAAAATATACAGTCAATTCACTTTACAGTGTTTTCTACAAAGAGCTTTGAGACGTCTCGAAAACATGATAAGGCGCTATATCAAATGCAAGGAATATTATTATTATCCGTCCATACATTAAACATTACCTTTTCCCACAGGTTTGACTTCTTTAGTCCAGCAGTTGTGGTAACTGGTGGAAGCTTTGGGTGGGGGAAGAGTAAGGACTTGTCTCTTACCTACTAGCAAGCTAGTGCATTTTATGAAATCTAGGTTAATGGAACTGAGCTACGAAAATTGTGACCCACATTGCATCTGTTAAAGGAACAAGCTTTAGTGATGGATCCGGGACAAAAGTGTTTAAGGGGTAATTGGGAAGAATTGGCTGTTTGATTAATTTGAAAAATTTAATGTGTTTATCGTTATTGTGTGCTGGATATTTCTTTCGTTATTTTCTCATCCAGACAGTTTTAATGTGTAAATAAATTTCGCCCTTCCTAGAATAAGTCTTCAGCAATCCAACCTACCAACTGCAGTTATTGTAATTCAGTAGACACAGACATCTAGATATCACTGGGCTCTGCCATTGGTTTGAGAACAAATCCAGTCATTTGATTTGATATATTAATCTTTGCAGGACTTGTCCTTTAATAGAGTCAAATCTTTCAGCTAATGTCTACAGCTATGGAAGGGACTTGTCCTCAGCACAAGGCAAATTTACTGCCAGGTTAATCTGTCACTGCAATAAATCCAATAATCCATTCAGGATGCCTGCTATTTAGGCCTGTAAGTAATATCCGTAACTGATTGAGTCAGATGCCTTTAAACTATTATTTATTTGTTTCCCAGCCTGTCTTTGGTGGGATAGGGTTAAGTGCTGCAACCTTGCATTACACAGGGAATGTTTGTCCAAACTATACTGTAACAAAACACATCCATGCAAAATGCTGGAGAGAAAGACAAATGCCTCAGAGTGCTTCACTTGTGCAGAGAGAGTGGGAGTTCCAGGCATTTTTTCAGCTAATACTAAAATTGCAGTTCATATTGTGCCCTCTACATTGCTGAATGTTGAGGCAATACATAATTCTTGAATTTTCCTTCATATTTGCATTTTGTTTTTTGTAGCACATGACTTCAATGATTTTTATGCAGTAATTAATTTGAATTCATCCCTCACTGCAATAAGTCCAATAAATGTTAACGGACAATAAAATCAGATCAATAAGTCCCTTTCTTAACAGCAGGTCTCCCTACAGTTACCTCATCTAGTTTTTCTTGGCTGTTACAGCATTTCTTTCACACTCTTCACTCTCATCACAAAATGCAAATAAGTACTATATTGGAGATAATATTTCTAATAAAGAAACAGGAGCCTGAGACTCGCGGGAAACCTTGAAATTCCACATAGTCTCAGCCTGCAAGACCACTGAGTCTAAAAATTTAAGATCATGCAGAATTGTGAAAAATTCTTAAATTCAATTCTAATTTGAAAGCCACCATTCTACAGTTCTTGAAAGGAGCCCGCACCTAATTAAAGCTGAACTGTTTTTCCACAACTCTGCCCAGTGATTCAACTTTAAGACAACGTATTCTTCAAGCTGAAGATGAGTTAGAAGGTCAACCTCAAGTATCTATCTCTCTACAATAGATGTAAAGGAAGCTTAGCTTTACATTCTTGAAAAGATATATTCAGCAAAAATTAAGACATCCTATCAAATCAGCATAAATTGAGGATTATCCCTAGAAGAAAAAAGGTGTAAGAGTTTTTAACACAGAGCATTGTTGCAATATTCATATCTTACTACAAAAAGCTGTTGAAGCCGAGTTCATAACAAGATTTGAAAATGATGAATACTTGAGGAAAAATAATATTAAAGGGGCAGAAAGACTAGGAAAATAAAATTAGGACAGATCACTCCAGTGAGCAAGCTAACACCAGCATAGACCCATTGGGTCAGATGGCTGCTTGGTGTGTTTTGAATGTTTTCTAGCAACAACAACAACAAGATTCCATTTATAGAGCGCCTTTCACTTCGGGAGGACGTCCCAAGGCACTGGACAGTTGGGTCAGGATCCGAGCAGGGGGGAAATGGTCAGGGTGAGGGGAGGGAAGGGAGGGAGCGAGGAGGGGGTAGAGAGTCGAGAAGGGAGCTGAAGGCACGGTTAAAGAGAAAGGTCTTGAGACCGGCCTTGAAGGAGGAAAGGGAGGAGGTGGCGAAGGCACTGGGGATAGAGTTCCAGAGCCTCGGGGCTGAGAGGCTGAAGGCCCGGCCACCGATGGTAGGGCGGTTGGCGCCGGGGACGTGGAGCAGACCGGAGCCAGAGGAACGGAGGGTATGGGCAGGTAGGTAGGGGGATAGTAGGTCGGAGAGGTAGGAGGGAGCAGGCCGTGAATGGCCTTGTAGGTGAGGATGAGGATCTTGAATTTGATCCTCTGGGGGATGGGAGCCAGTGGAGGCGAGCGAGGGTGGGAGTGATGTGGTCCGAAGCCTGGTGCGGGACAGTACACGAGCTGCAGAGTTCTGAATGACCTGCAGCTTGTGGAGGGAGGTGCGGGAAGGCCGGCGAGGAGAGAGTTCCCATAGTCCAGCCTTGAGGTGATAAAGGCGTGGACCAGAGTTTCAGCAGCGTGAGGGGTGAGGTAGTGCCGTAGTCTGGCGATGTTCCGGAGGTGATGGAAGGCGGTGCCAGTTGTGGCGCGGATATGAGGAAGAAAGGACAGCTCAGGGTCCAACAGAACACCGAGGTTCCTGACTCACTTTGAGAGGTGGAGAGTGCAGCCTTGGATGCTGTAGAGCAAGTAGAGCATTCCCCCATCAGAAAAAAAACTATAAAATCACAGTACTCTTGACACCAACCCTTTCTGATTATCTTTTTGTCTCTTGGTTTTGACAGTAAGAAGAACACTAAAGAGTGGCTTGACACCAGAGGAGGCCAAAGCACTGGGTCTGGTGAACACCTCCGAGATGCAGGTGTGAAGTGACTGAACACGAGCCAAGGCAGGAAACACCACTAATAGCACCTGGGCAAGGCATGACACAGCACGGCTAAAAACATCCAGCTGGCAACCATTGGCTGCTCTGGGCATCCAGTCACTACCCAGCTCACTCATCGTATGACACATATGAGCGACGAGAGCTTCAAAGGGATGTTGAATATTGGCACTAAAATTCTGAGAGTTTTTTTTTAAAAATCAGGATTGTTCAGAAATATTTATACCTAGATAAAAGTATTGCTTTTTGTTTTGTTTTTCTAATTGACAGGGTTAGAAAAGTAAGCTGTTGTACGAGATATGTTGTACGAAATATGTTTACGTTGGCTTTTCTTGTGGCCTACTTATGTAGCAATACCATGCACCAAGTCAGTGTAAGCACCAGACCTTAAGGAGACAGTATGTTGAAGTTTGCTGGATCAACCCCAGCCATGTGTTGGAACTTTAAACAGATGTCGTCTAACCTGCACCAAAAAGCATTGATGTGATCCAGCGTAGTCTAACTTATACACACAAAAATACATTAGTTGAACAGATAACCTTGAGTTTTCCAAAGTTATGTGTTTGTGGCCCAGTACAGTGAAAGCAAACTTCTTTTCTAGAATATTATTGGCAAAGATAGGTATTAAATATAGTGAAGTACAGGCTGGACCAGTTAGGCAGCAGAGGATTCTGAAACAGCATCAGGAACAGTCGTGTTCATTGAAGTCCAAGTCAGTGCAAAGATCGTCAAGAGGCAGTATGTCTATGAAGAAGACATAATTGCAATGATCATTAAAAGTGTATTAAATGACTTGCCTTTATAACTAAGGCCTGAAAATCTGACTGATTTGATTGTAGGTTTTTTTAAATGGAGACAACTGAAGTATCTTAATATTCCTGTACAGCCCATCCCTAAAGCTCAGTGACACAGTGTGGACTGCCGTATAATCAGTGAGTTTTGTCACCTCTGCCTGTTTGCACTGGGAGGGAAGGGCCTATCCTGTCTTGACATTTTAATGTTGGTCAGAGAGTCCAGAATCTCAATGAACCCAACTCCTGATGGCCATGATTTGTACTTCCTAGTAGTTTCTGAAGCACAGCCAATATTGATAATAGATAGTCCTCAGCTCCACTCAATTCTTACTGAAACCTCAGAGATGGCAAAGGCTAAAGCAAGGGAGAGTTGGACAAGAAGGAGATTACCCTCCCCAACCCCCACAAAGTGTCCAAAAGTGATAATCCCAAAAAGTATTATAGTGAAATAAAAGTGGTGTATAGAGTGCTAGAGAGTGGAGGCCAGGTCAGCTGGTTGCAAGCCAAGATCAGAAGTGAAACCTTCCAGACCAGCAGACAATCCACAATTTCCTGGCCAGTAAACTCAGCTGCTGTTTGATTTCACCTGATTATGATGATAGGGGCTGAGTATGGGGTACTCTTGTTTAGTATACATGGGGTAGGCAGTATGAGGTGTTGTAGGGTTGAACACAACTGCAACAAGTTTTCCTTCTGCCAGCTGAGCTGAAGTGTAACTTGAACTGCACCACTGTGTGGATTCACCATGACTGCGTCTAAGAAGCTCTTCAACCACAAGATGAGGAAAAGGCTCAGTGTTTTACCTATAAATGGCATGATATAACGAAGGGGGTAAGGGTACTATGAGAGCAGAAGGTAGATAGAGGTGCAGGGGTGTAGTTTGGTGCAGTCAATCATGTTGAAATGCCTCAAAAAAGTCAAGCTTGGACTTTAGGGTCAATCATTTTCCAGGAGGCATGCAATAAGATTACACATTAAAACAGTTCAATGATCTGCAGTTAATTTTCAGGTCAGTTCCGTTGTTCAGCCTCTGACTCAACAGTCACCTATCAATACATTTGTGCTCAGGCTTATGTAGATAATGGGATGAGGATTAGCAGTCTCACTGTGATTGAATTTAATGCATAGTCAAAACAAAACTCAAACAGGCATATAGATATTTTTCATTCTTTCAAAGAGGACCGACCTATGGAATGGGATAATAAAGTAACATTTCATTTTATAATCAAGCACAAAATAAGAACAGCACATGATCAGCATTACCTATATGTACCAGATCAGAGAGAGCCATAGCATAGTAATACTATTGAGGGGTAGAGACAACAAAACTTGCATTTATATTGCATCCTTCACATTGCGGTGTCGTGTCTTGGAGTGCCTAGGTTTAGTCGTGTCTCCTACATCTTTGTGCCCCTAGATTGCTGGCCTAAATGCAAGTCTTATTCACCGCATGAAAATTTGCTTATGGATTTGCAGGTATACAGCGTAGAACCCTAAAACAGGTTAGTGAGTCCATGAGCTAAGGTGGGGTGGGCCAAGATTTGTGCACGTTTTCACATGTAATGAGTTATCTGATGCCTTGGAGAAGTTTATCATTTGTTATTTTTGGCCCAGCAGTGAGATTTGAAAATCTCCATGGTTGTTTCAATAATAATAATAATACTTGCATTTCATATAGCTCCTAATCATGCCCCCTAGATGTCTCAAAGTGCTTCATGGGATACACTGTAAAGTGTTTTTGACTGTTTTTTGGGTGAAATGCGACCGGCTTTGTGAGAAAGATAGCACCTCATAAGGCTGTGTCTGGATTCCTCTATGTCCCCATGTGTCATTAATGATCGTGGCTGAACACTTGTATCGTGGTCTGTGTGCCTGGCTGATCCAGAAGATAAGATCATAGGTCAGGCTCAAGGAACATTGAGACAGACCAAACCAAGTGACCCTTGCAGACGTTTGTATGCAGAGCTTCTCTTGTGTTGAAAAGCTATGGATTGAGCGACATTAATAACACAATACCAACAATCGGGATAGTAAGGTGTAAAAGTCAAGAAGGAATTTATAATAATAATCCTTGCATTTGATATAGCGCTTTTCACATCTTCTAGACGTCTCAAAGCGCTTCACAGAATATAATGTAAACTGAATTGACTATATATTTGTGGGCGAAACTTGGCAGTAGTGTCCCACAAACAGTCGTGGAGTGAAGTGACCAATTTATTTTTTTCTTGAGGGATTATTATTAGGCATATGGAGTAAGGAAACTTTCCCAAGGTTTCGCCCTGCCGGGAATCGAACCCAGGTCTCTCAATGTATTAGTCAAAGAGAAGCGTCTGCTTGTCTAACCCTTTTATATGGATCAATGAAATCTAATTGTTGAAAAATGTGCTGTCAAATATTCAATAATCTTGAGTAAGGATGTAAATCTGCAATTTTCCAGCAACAAATGTGCTCATAAAGCTAGCAGTCAACGAATGTGTAGAGGAGTTGTCAGCACAGTGTGAGCAGCTTCTGTAGCCTCAAATTTTACTTTTAAATTTAAGTGCAAAACATAAATTGAGAGGAATAGGGTTAGTTATTCACTTCTTGACGGTAAAACATCTGACCTTGGCATTGATTGTTTGCAGTGAGATCTCCCAATGAGGAAAGCACATGGTGAAGATTGGTAAATTTACCGACTGGCAGAAAATTGCTCCAAAGGGTTTATCCTCAATGTTCTGCTTCGTCGCCACTGACTGTTTGGATTTTGGCCACTTAAGTATTAAGGCAATGGAGTAGGAGATTAGTCCACAGTAGATTAGTAAGGGGCAAACTAAAAAGAAGTAAATTTGTGACGTGATAGAACCATAGAAATTTACAGCAAAGAAAAAGGCCATTTGGCTCATTGTATCTGTGCTGGCTCTTTTAAAGAGCAATTCTTTCTGTCCCGATACCCCTATAGTTTACTACTTTTTAGATATCTGTCTAGTTCCCTTTTGAAAGCTTATATGGATTCTACCTCAACCACTGCTGCCAGGGCATTTCCATAACCTATGTTATCACAGGAGATATCACATGCTGTAAATTGTGTCAGCCAGGCTCAGTGGTAACACTGAGTTGGAAGTTTCTGGAATCACATAGTGTAAGATGACACTCCAATGCAGTGCTAGGGGTGTGTTGCATTGTTGGAGGCGCGGTCCTTCGGATGAGACGTTAAACCAAGGTCCCATCAGCCTGTTCGGGTGGACGTTAAATATCCCATAGTACTAGTCGAAAAGAGAAGGTTGTTTTTCCCGATGTTCTGGAAAACAAATCCCCAAAATAAAATTGGTTACTCACTCCAAGACTGTTTGTGGGACATTGCTGTGCAGAATTACCTGCCATGTTTCTCTCACAAAGTATGCAGTCAAACCACTTTACAGTATATCATGTGAAGCACTTTGAGACATCTCAATAACGTAATAAGGTGCTATATCAAGGCAAGGATTACTATTATTATAAATTTCATCCCAAAGTTTCTTCACCTCTCAGTAGATTATGACAGATTATGAAGAAGGCTGATATGAAAACCAAAGTGAAAATGATATATCTTTGTACAATAGTTTTTTAAGGCAACCTGGTGTACACCGACCATAACAATACAGTTACTATTTTATTGCTGGTAATTTCAATCAGGTTGATATAAAGCATATGTTCCAAGATGGCAACTGTGAATAGACAGTACAGTAGAGTCTTAGTTCTATCTATCTCATTTTGGCTTCATATCACGGTAGTATTTTATTTATTTATTTTTAAGCGGTTTTCAAAAAAGTAAAACCAATACTCAGAATAATCATCATGGTGCCTGTAAAAGTTGATAGGCAGAAACGAATCTTAGGTTTCCACATGGCAATATTGTGTTTGGCTTTCTCAGCATGACTTTTGATTTGTGTTTCCATATATCCACCGTATCTTGTTACAGCTCAAATATTAGGTAGATTTGATCATTTTTTTTTAAAGTTCAAGAAGCTCCTTCCTGCCTTGGCTTGCAATGTAGATACTGTCTCTTTAACGTACTTGGACTGCATGAATTGGCTGTACTGGCAACACAAGCAGTGGATTCTTGAAAGGTTACATACTGTGTAATGAAGCTTCCGAGAGCATAAGGAAAAGAGGAATTCATTTGCTTTTATTATTTTTGAAAAACAAATGCAGTGTTAAAGCATGTATGAATATGTGTAATCCTTTTCAGTTTGAACCTAGGCTTCCTCATCAATCCTGCACTTTTACTGAGACAGCTGAATAGATGATGATTCAATTGAAGAGCCCTTGGAAAGGGCAGCAATACACAATGCACAGCCTTGTGGTACACTCTTATAGCCACGTATAAGGCTTTAACACTGTGGCCAACAGATCAAAAAGAATGGTTGTCTCCCCATTATGGCTATGTAGAAAATACCACAGATTTTCATTTAATTTGAAACCGTCTAAGGACGTATTCTTGACTTTTTTTGTGAACTGGGAATTTGTAAAAAAAAATTAAGCAGGAAAAAGAAAAGACTTGTAAAGTAGAAAGTGAGAGTTTCGAAGAAAAAATAAAAGGACAATGCTGTACAATTGTGTAAATGTCGCTCTTCATAATGTTTTGTGTAGCATAGTGTAAAATAGGTCAGACAATGGCAGTGTTATTCTGTGAATTGTAATTTAAAACAAAAGCCATGCATGGTCCTTTAATTACTCCATAAATTGCTCATTATAGATAAGGGTGTTTGTTATATCTTACGTCCATGTGTCTCTGAAATTGCATTTGTTTTTGTGTTTTTATGTTAAGGACTTGAACTACTGTTGTAGAACCATCCACTACACAGCAACTACGTATACAGCCTTAGGAAGCCTTGACACTGCATTATTAATTACTAGTGCGGTTAGGGAGGCACAGGCCACCCTCTTGCTCGCAGCCCACCTGCCCTAATGTCTCCTCCACTAGTACAACACCCTTGTCTGTCAGTGACATTCAAGTTAGAAGTGTAAACTGGCTGCAGAAGAACTCCATATCTTAAATCTTACCATAACTCTTAGCAGTGTTTCAACAGCTTCCAGCAACAGTACTATGTACAAACATCTCGCAATAAAGCTCTATTAAGCAAACGTTGTCAATCGTGTCTATGTTGTTTTATCAAACGGAAATGAGAGCTAGGAATGAGAGCTCAAAGCTGAGAGCTTTAGCAAAGACAGGTTGGATGGCTGGCTGGGTGGGTGAGTGAGCAGGCAGGTGTCTGTGTGAGTGTGTGTGTGTGGAGGAAACCATCACTCAATCTGTTATATAATAATGATGATGCTCTATCCTTCAAACAAGGCTGTTACTGTATTTATTTTGCATGTGTCAAAAATTTGGGCAGAATTTATTGATATTTTTCATTCTCATCTCTCGTTTCTTCCCTTCCTCCGCCCCACCCCATGAAATTATATTATGAAAATGAATTTTGTCTGACCGGTCAGAGATTGAGAAAGGGGTGAGTGAAGGGCAACTAGCAGTAACAAACAATGGATTGTTTTGCATTCACTAGCAAAGGTTGAAAATGTGACATTTCAAGACATTCATTGTAATAATTATCATCAAAACTGGAATGAAACATCCCATTTTTCACTCCCATAATATAAGTATATTGCTGATGAGTAGCTTTCCCATACTTATGGGGAAAATTCCACCTGGACTTCCTCCCTTGCCTCCTTCAAGGTCGGTCTCAAGACCTTTCTCTTCGACCGTGCTTTTGGTCTTCCTCCCACCTCTCCGCCTTCTCTCACCCCTAAACCACCTCCCGTCCCCCATGCACGGGCCACGACACCTGACTGTTCAGCACTTTGGGACGTCCTCCCAAAGTGAAAGGCGCTCTATAAATGCAATTTTGTTGTTGTTGTTTATGTGCCATTTCAGAGCTTGCAGAATTTGGCAAATTCTTAAACACAACCTTAATTTTTAGGCTACTTTTCTATAATAATAATCCTTGCATTTGATATAGCACCTTATCATGTCTTCGAGATGTCTCAAAGCGCTTCACAGAACATAATAATAATCATAATCATTGCATTTGATATATCGCCTTATCACTTCTTAAGTCTCAAAGCGCTTCACAGAATATACTGTAAAGTGAATTGACTGTATATTTTATGGATGAAATGTGGCAGCCAATTGTGCACAGCAGTGTCTCACAAACAGTCATGGATTTTGGTGATCTTTTATTATCTTTTTGAAGGGGTTATTACCCCTGGAAAGCGATCTGCCAATTGTCTAACAACCGGGTTCCTATTTATAACTTTTTTTTAAAGAACTACACAAAAAAACAACTTCAAAGTTGTGGCTGAATTTCACAATTTCCTTAATTCTGAGCACTCTGAATTGCTAATAAATTCAGCAAATGTACAGCCAGGTGGAGTCTCTCCCCACCTGTGGTTTATTGCCGGGTCTGTTCACCACCTGGAAGTGGTGCATGTGGTGTTCCATGACCTCACAGGACTGGCTGACCCTTGAGTCATATTTCAAACCTATTAAATAGTTCAGTACTTACTTGTGGGGAGTATATTTGTTCCTAGCCTCATTATTGTGGGCTGCAAAAATGAGAAACAACTTGTTAGGATTTTTTTTAAATTGTATAATATAAGGAACTAATGATACACTTTAACTAACTTGTCAGATGGTACAGCGACTAGTTCGTTCTCTGCAATTCACCTGATGCTG